TTGGACACTTACCTAGGAGTGGTATTACTATATCACAAGGTATGTGTTTTTAATATTAGTAGAAAATATCTAATTATTTTTAAAGTGTTTGTGCTGATTTCCATTCCCAGCAGCAGAGTATGAGAATGCGGACTCCTCCATATTTTTCCAAAACTTGGTATTGTCAGCCTTAGGGTTTAGCCTATTCTTGTGAAAATGAGGTGTTATTTTATCATGGTTTTAATTTGCATTCCCCAAGACTAATTATATGTTTATTGCTTATTTGAATATTCTCTTTTATGAAGTGCCCATGCCTATTCAAATATCTCACCCATTTTTCCATTGGGTTGTCTGTTATTTTTTATGGGTTTATAGAATGCATTATATATTCATGATGCCAGTCCCTGGTTATATATGTTCTGAATTACTTCTCCCATTGCATTGCTTGCCTTTTAATTCTCTTAATAATATCTGCTGATGGACAGTGGCTTTAAATTGCAACGAAGTCCCATTTTCTACTTTTCCTTTATGACTACGTTTTTACTGTCCTTTTTAAAAGCCTTTCCCTCTATAGAGGTCCTGTATTATTTTACAACACTTTTATTTTTGGCTACTGACATTGAGATCTATCATCTGTGATCTGGAATTGACTGTGGTAGTATGTGTGATAGGGCTGTTTCTTTTCCTTTTATTTTTTCAGCATTATCCTCTTTTCTATCGCTCCCCATTTTCTCTATACACAGCCTCTCCTTCATTTTTCACACTGGTCCTCATACCCTTCTCCCCAACTTTGTCTGCCTTTTCTATCAGCAGCTATCCGGGCTCTACCCATACACCAGGCCTAGTTTATGTGTAATCCCAGGGCCCAGTCTTCAGCATTAATTTCTGTGCCCATTATCTCTCTTCACCACGTACTCCCAAAGCTTGTTTTCAGTATCTCTCATCAGTTAACACATTTGTACACTGAAGAATATAAAAACAATGTGTAATTAATACATCTAATCAATTTTACTAAACAATAAATTCCCTGAGAAAAGTATGTATTCCTTTTTTGTTGGGAACTGCCCTGCTTGGTTTCAGAAGCTGTAACCCCCAGGGCCAAGGCTGAGTGAGTGACCTTCAGACCATAAGCCACTAAGAAGGCAAAGCTTATCTCCCTGAAAGGAGCACTGCTTCTGCTCCTTTTTCCATAACTGGCCTCCCGTGCTTGATCACTTAGCCAATGACAGGTAAGATTCCCCAAGGGGGGAACGACCTAAAATAGGCATGATCACATGGAGGCCCCATGGAAGGACTTGGGGGGCTATGAAGAAAGGGGGTGATGGACCCTCGCCCCTCGGCTTTGACAAAGTCTGACTCCCCTGAGTCCGTGAGAAGTCTCCGAAAATTCCTTGGCTATCTGCCTCCTCTGCCTGACTTAAGCCTGAAACAATGACAAAGTGGTGCAGCCCTGTGCTGGAAAGGGCGGGCTCCCCAGGTGATCAGGCCTGAGAGAGGATATGTAAAATCCTGTGAAGCCTGCTTTGCTAAGAATGCTCTTAGTTAAATGACAAAGGCCCGAGCAGGAAATGAGTTCATTTCCCAAAGTTTTGTAGCCTTTTAGCTGATAGACCCTGACTCAGAAGAAGCCCTAACAGTTCTTTGTATGCTATCTACTGTTTGATCCTTACTGCCTGACAGTGATTAATGAGCTGTACCTGTATTCCTGTCCAAATTAAACCAAATAAAAGCCTGTCTGGGCAAAGGTTGGGGTGCTCTCCCCTTGAGAGAGTGGCCAGGCTGTTCTGAGGCTGTCCCCCCTTGAGGGAGTAGCAGTGCTGCCCCTTTTCTTCCACAGGACTCAGTAGTCAATGTGAACTTGTGTCATGTCTCATCCATGACACCACGGGCACTGCGGGCCAGTGTGTGTGTCACTTTTAATCATTCATGAATAATGAAGGAGGATTGATATTTCCTACCAGTCAGCAGCAATAGGGCTTCAAAACAGATTCAAGTGAATCAGGAAAAATAAAGGAAAGTGACATTTCTTTCATCAGAATTGTGGGGTAAACATTATACCCCTTATTTTGCCCCTAAAATGGTTCAAGGGTCCACCAAAGACCAAAAGTTCCTTAAATCCAAGATGGAGCATAGCCTGGTGGATTCCCAAAGAAGAGTGGACTTTGTAGAAGATGTTCAGACATCTGGTGACTGATATCTATTAAAGTGCTAGAGAGGTATTTTAAGAAACAGAAAACCAGTTAGTTGTTGAAGATAGCTCATCTGGATTATTGAAGAGACAAAGTGTCATTCATTTCTTTACATTTATTCAACATGTGTTTACTGAGCATCTACTATATTCTAGGCACACCTCTAGGTGCTGGAAAATACCTAGCCATCATATAGCTGACAATCTAGTGAAGAGAAGCGTAATACACTAACCAAGTATAGGCACTGATAAGTGCTATGAGAAAAAGTAAGCAGGGAGAGAAGTTGGAGAGTGAAGGCAGGATGGGGTGGGCACTATCCAGATTAGGGAGCCAGAGACTTAAGTGCCATTAAGCAAATGGCTAAAGTGGGAAGATGGGCATGATAGGCAGAATTATAGTCCCCATGATCTCTACCCCCTGTTGCCACTCCTGTAATTATGTGGCTATGTTGTATTACATGGCAAAGGAGACCACCTAAGGCTGCTAATCAGTTTGACCTTAAAGTAGGGAGATTATCCAGAAATATGGGGTGGACCCAGTGTCATCAGGTGAGTCCTTTAAAACAGAAAGTAGGAGCAGAAGAAGAAAGCAGCAAGATGCAGAGTGTGAGGATTTGGCACACACCCTTGCTGACTTGAAGATGGAGGGGCCCCATGAGGACTGTGGGCTGCCTCTAAGAGCTGCTAGACGGAGAAATGAGGACCTCAGTCCCACAACCATAAGCAACTGAATTCTGCCACCATCCTGAATGATCATGAAAGCAGATTCTTTCCCAGAGCCTCCTGCTAACAGCCTGGCAGCAATACCTTGACTTCAGCTTTGGGAGACTCTGAGCAGAGGACCCAGCCCTGTTGTGCCAGACTGCTGACCTATAGAACTATGAGATATAAGTGGGATTGTTTAAACCTGCTAAATTTGTGATGATTTGCTACTACTGCCTCAATAGAGGGCTGTTACAATGGGCCATCCACTCTATGGGAAAAGGTAATCCAACTTAGCGAACAGGCTAACAGCCCTGATTGGATAGCACATTGGCATACTCTAAGAATAGCAAGTCAGCCAGTGGGGTTGGAACAGAGTAACAGAGAGGGAGGTCGGTAGGAAATGAGAGCAAAGCTACTGTTTGTGGTTGATCCTTGAAGACTTTCAACTATTACAGGAAACTATTGGAGAGCTTTGAGCAGGGGAATGATAAAATTAAGAATTACATTTTCAAAGGATTTTAAAAGGACAACTCTTGCTATTACATAGTAATTCACTACAGGAAGGTAAGTGTAGATGCAAGAGTAGTAAGGAGTGTCCTGTCACAGATGAGGAGAGAGGTCACTAGGGCTGGGAGGTGAGAAGACAAACAGTGTATTATGAAGAAACAGCCAACAGGGTTTTCTGATGGCACGGATATGGAGCAAGAGAAGGTGAGATGTGGAGATGTTGAGGATGGAGCTGGATGCACAAGTCTGGAGATTTGTGCAATGAAGTGACAGCAGAGAGAGGCTATTTCAGGCCATAAGACTGGAGGAGACTTCCTAGGGGAGTGAATGTAATTAGAATAGCGGACTGCGCTCTCCAGCAGACAGTAGTTAGAGCTCTGGAAGAGGTGGAGCAAGTAAATGAAGTACAAGGGAAGCCAGAAGGTGGTGTTCCGGAAGCAACAGGCTGCGAGAGGCAGGGAGTGAGGGATGTCACACAATTCCGGAGGCTGAGGACCGAAGGACTGGGAGAGAAAAACTGGATTTGCAGCAGGGAGGTCACTGGTGACCTTAACAAGACTGATTTTGTGAACTAGTGAAGAGAAGTGCCTGTTTGGGTGATCTCAAGAAGAAATGGAAGAAGTGAGGACAGTGGGTACAAACACATTTTTTTCAAAAATTATTGTACTGTGAAGGGAAGGAGAGAAATGAGGCTGCAGCAGGAGAGAAATGCAGGGTCAGGAGAGGGTAACTTTCTTCTAAGCTGGGGGCTTAGAAGCCATAGAGTCATAGAAGCCATAGACAAAGCCATTGCCTCCTTGGCATCTAGCTGTAAAAGCAAAGAATGTATTGCGAAGTAACGCCACCCATCCATAGAGTCAGATTCAGATGGCAGGTCTTGAAACCAATTTCAGAGACCTACTTCTCACTCGGCCTCTTCCAGATTCCTCAACAGCACCTGCCTCAGGGTGCAGCCCTCTTTTCTAATTATATTCACTCCCCAGGAAATCTCCGGTCCCTTAAATAGTGTCTCTGCTGTGCCTCTGGGTGCCTTGTAGGAGAGAGAGAACAATTCGTGGAGGTTTTGATGGGTTGACTTTCTCAGTCCAGGGGATGATTCCTACTTAGAACAACTGGAGACTACCTGGAGTAGACCAGGCCTGCATGGTGTAGAGAGGCCAGAAAAATTAGGAACAAAAAGATCTTATTGCTTTGTGAACATAAGAGGTAAGAGACAACATATATTAACTAGATGAAACATATGTGGAAAATATATAAAAGGAGGAAGAAAAAAGGTATAAAATTTGAAAGGGACAAAATTTAATATCTGTCCATTATCTACTTATATAAGGTTTGTACCCAGAGAGCTTACCCCTTATAACAAAGCCTCTTGGTACTTGTACCCCAAATGTCACCTGGATCACGTCACAATGTTTCCAAGGCCTCCACCCATGCCAAAACTTGATGACTGTCACCATTTCACTATGGGATACAAAGGATGCCCACAGAGCCGTCTGTCAGCTTCAGAATCCCTGGTGTCTGCTTTATTCTTTTCAGGCTCCTGCTCCCACCTGTTTATAGCCACACCCATGCTTCCTGTGTTCATTACAAGATGCCCTGTCTAGGCCAGGGGCTGACTTACCTGCCTGGCTTTGGGTGGCCTGGCGGTGCAGGGGCTTGTGCAGAATGAGGGAGAATGTCTTCCTTCCCAAACTGGGCCACGTTTTTTTATATTGCCTTGGTGAGGTGGGGAGCAGGGGGCAGAGAGAGAGAGAGAGAAACATTGATTGGTTGCTCTCTTATATACAACCTGACCAGGGATCAAACCCACAACTCAGGTATGTGTCCTGACCAGAAATCAAACCTGCAACCCTTCGGTCTACGGGACAACACTCCATCCAACTGAGCCACATGGGCCAGGCTGGGGCCCAAGCAGCATTTTTTTCCTGGAGCCCAAGCAGCACTGTGGGGTCAGAACTCTCCTGTGAGCCTCTGGCCTCAGCCCTAGCCCACACTGCCACAAAGACATCATTGTCCATTTCTGACCTCAGGTGAGTTAAGCCCTGTGCAAAGCAATGGATGAGGAGTGGACATGACACCCTTTCTACCACTTCTCCCTCTTTCCTTTTTATCACCTGCTCCCAACTCAAACCCCTCTTTTCTCTACATTTAAGTCAAGGTTACCAACAGCTGGGGAAGAAGTGGGGGGTTCCCTGTGCTGACAATGCCTATATCCAGGTCAGGCCAACCTGCTTCTTTTATCTGCTACATGACTGACAAAAGGCAGGCTGGCCGCAGGTCCCTGATCAGAGTGAGAGAACAAAGAAGAAAAGGGAAAAGGCGGTGGCTGGTGGAGAACATCTCACCATCCTCCTTAGGCTCTGTGAAGGGTTAAGGTTTCCAGGGCTCTGTTTACTTAGGGCTAGTGAGCAAAGAAAAACAGGTTCAGACTGTATTCCTGCACCCACCAGGAGAGCAGAGTGCTGAGTCTGACTTCCTTTTAGGCTGTAAGATCCTAAGGGCAAGGAATGTGTTTCTGCTTGACCTAGTTGGGTGCCACGCGCAGACAGACATAAGTACTCATCTAAACTGTACCCAACTTGAGATCAAGTAATGTATCTGACAGTGTTTTGTTATTCACGCAGGGCTTGAAGGGTGCTCATTTTACATTAAAAGCTCATGATACCCCCCTGACTAGCTGTCGTTGAAGAGCAGGCGAAGAGCACAGGAGTGGGAAACAAGGGAACTGGCTTCCAGTTTCTGCTCTGCTCTGAAACCTTGAGCAAATCCCTCCACCTCTCTGAGCCCCATTTTCACATTTGTAAATAAAGAACACCATTACTCTGCAAGGCTACGTGAAGTCAGATGAAATAACAGAAACAAAGTCCTGAGTACACTCAACTTGGTCAAAGGAAAGTTACTTCAACTTGGCTTTTCCCTCTCTCCTGCCACAGGGCACAAAAGGCACTTTTTAGAAAACTTTGGAATTGATGAGCCAGCACCTTCCAGCCACAGAAATCACGTCTACGATGTCAAGCTATCAGCAGACAAAAAACTGAAAGAGGAGGCCACTTCCATGCACTCTGGAAGATCAACAGGAAGGCACTGAGAAGAGAATCTCAGGAGTCCTGGAAGGAAACCTGTCCTCAAGTCCAGGGTTATGCCATTCATTTGCAGAGACCCAGAGTCAGAAAAAAGTGGACAGCAATTTAGTGGCAACAAGAAGCGTTAAGGAGACACTTACACATTTTTACTTTTCCTGTAACCAGATATGTTAGAAATAAAGCTTCATCTGGGGTCTCCCTAAAGTTAATGACATTGACCTGATAGTTCATTGACTTGATTTGCAGAATTTATTTTACAAGTGTCTTTAACCCACGTGGCTCCTCTTCCCTTTGAGACTCAACCGAGGGAAACCCCAGAAATCCCATGGCTTCTATATAATACTTACCATGTTGCCTCAGACACAGTGCTCACACAATCAACATATTTACTATTGCATTCTGGGAGAGAAACCACGATTTGAGAGACGATGTTAATCCACGTGAGCACACACATGCACACACACTCACACTTGTGTGTGTCTGAATGTTCAAGTTCTAGCTATAGATTTCCCACAGGCACTGAGCTTCCTGCTCCATCTATCACCCAGGTACATTTTAGAGAAGAAGGCTCTTCCCAATTAAAAATTACAGATTTCCTATCTGGCTCAGGAAAGAAAGAAAAAGAGCTTGGACTGCTGGTTTTTTTTCAAGATAATGTTCCCAGCGAAGGGGCAACCCTCAGAGGGGACGACAGCACACCATACTCAGAAAGGTCCCCAGTCCTGGGCTTCCAGCCACAGTGAAGATTCTAATGCCCTAAACATGGTATGGGAGAGTGGCAGATGGGCCTGAAGGGACCGTGGAGATCTCAGAACTGACAGCTCATGTACATAATTGACCAGCATCATCCCCTACACTCCGCTCCACTTGGGACATAGGACTTGAAGAATGACTGGGGTTACATTTCCTTCCAACTCAGTGAAATGAGGAATTAGAATCAAATTAGAGATTATAAAAGTAAGATTTGTGCATTCTGAGTTTATGGATAGAATTCATATCTATTCCAATGGGGAAGTAATTTATTACCTAAATGAATACCATTGCTTTCCTGTCCATGGAGAAAATCACAGCGGTTGTGGGAGGGGGGCTGTGGGAGGCAGGAGTCCTCAGTGGTAAAGACATTAGACATTGAGTTTCTGCCATAATTCCCAAGCATACAGCACTTTCTCCTCACTGCCCTCCTGCTGCCTCCTAGTCTCCCAGGAAAGATCTCTTTGGTGGACTGCTATCAGTCCTTAGAGGACAATGCTGACTTGCTTTGTTTCAGACCATCTTTTCATTGTCTCAGTTCATCACTATCCCTCCCTCATCTCAGAAAAGCAAACTCACAGGAGTTTGTCCAACTAGAGAGGCAGGACGCATGGGTTGGCATGTTCAGCCAGGATCTCTGGGCTGCAAAAAAGAGAGACCCATGCAGCTCAGTTCACACTGTGGAAGTCTATCACAATGACATGCATGGAAGCAAGGGGGTGCCATGAACCCCAGAAACAGACACATAATAGGCCTTGAAGAAATACAGGAGCCTAATTCAGATATTCTCTCAGTCAAAGCAATTCATTAATTTCTACTCTGCACTCCACCATTAGCACTGACACATCCCCATTTCTGCTCCTGCCACTCCTGTCCCTACAAACCAAGTCAGCCTCTACTCTAGTGACCCTTCTCTGCCTTATAACTTGTACACTCATGCTTATCATGTGCTCCTGGACGCTTCTGTGCCATAATACCATGTCCTACCTTCACTCACCGTGCTGTCCCATTTCTGCCCCTCCTAGAAACTAATTAACCCTCCAGCCCTAACTGTAGTCCAGACTTCTGAGGAAGACATGCTGTCCCTATTTGGCAGAGCTTTCATGGGACATCATAGGTCGCCACTGGCCAGCCTATGGATTTCCTAATCTATACATGTCCCAATCTATACACCTTTGCTGGTCTAATCAGTTGAAGCTATGGCAGTGAGGTTCCACTTTGTAAAACTCAGCCACTATTTCCATCATTAGAAAGCAGTTCATGAGGATCCCTCAGTATGAGGCTCAGCTTTGCAAGGCTTAGCTCATTTGAAATATTAGGATATTAGAGATCCATTGTCAGTTAGCTAAATACACTTTTGCCTATCTCTTGGATTGTATTAAATCAATACTAGTTTTGAAAACTGTATTTTATGGAAGCTCACCCTCTTCATTGTAAGAAAGACAATAAATATAGATATTTGACCCAAGTTCCACTCTAAAGTGGAAGATATCACTGTACAGAAAAGTTAGTTTAGATGCCAGACTAAAGGCCCAGTTGAAGGGGCCTCCTACTGAGAGTGTCAGGCTTAGTGGGTTTACTGATGTCAGCAGGCAATTCTCCCAGAATGGGAAGCATCTCTTTCCTCATAATGAGAAGCTCATGTTTCTAGAACAGTTCAGAAGACAGCCTGCCCAGGAAGGACTGTCTTTCCCACTTAGTTCTACTGCCTTGTCAGTCAGCAAGCAGGGCACTGACATGGGGCAGAAGCAGCCATGAGCTTAATACAAGACATGGGCCCCAAGCATACATCCTCTGGCATCTGAATCTAAGGGGGTGGCTCAGCAAGAGGGTTGTCCTGGTCACAGGAGGCCCACAGGTTGCCTCGGTGGACTCCTGGGGTCTACAGAAGGGACAGCTGCCTCCAACCCCACGTCCCGAGAAAGTGCCACTTGAACTGCAATCAAACAGGCTGGCAAAATGAGCACACTCGTGCTCAGTGGTGCATCTGGAAATTGGCCTTCTTTGGCTTTTAACACCGTATTGCTCCAACAGTTTTATGATTATCAAGGACAATCAGGACAGTTGGAAACCTGGAATATTTGTACTCTTTACTCTGTTTGGGCCTCAAGCACTGAAAACAGGAAGTCAGTGCCCTAGAGGGCCCCTCCCCTTTAGAGAAAAAGTTTTCATAATTAAAAGGCACTGTATTTTTGTACTCATTAATTTGAAAATATTCCCCAGTCAACATTCTTAGCAATTAACACGATTATTTACTGCTTAGTGATGAGCTGAGAATATGACAACAGTGTTTCTCTTACCACCTTCTGTTTTCTATCAGGAATAAATAGAGACACTCAACTGACTATTCACAGTATCTATTAGCAACCAGTGCAATTTTAAATACTGTACATAAACACCTATTTTTCCCCATCAACTTTCGACAGTGTTTTTTGACCATCACCTGCCACTTACTATCTTACTGTCCATAATTCACTGTCCCTACTTCTCTACTTTTCTTATCCATATTTCTTTTGTATATTTTCTTATGCATGGTTGATGATAATAACTTTTAAATGCTATTCCATAACCTTAATTAAGCCTTCCACACTTTGTTTACAGGGGAAGCCTAAAACTTAACAAGCCAATAAATACCTTCTTTGCTGTAATTACTATGTAAATATTAATTACTATAGTGTCAAATAGTATCATATAATTATTTTTTCTTCTCTACAGATAAAATGCCATAACCCCTGAAACATCTGGAGAGGAACATTGTGAGTGTCAAGGTCAAATACATTACCTGTCCAGACACTCAGCCAATGCTCCAATCATGTCACAATATAAGAAAACTTCTATACAACCTATGATTTTGTTATAAACCTATTTGAATTTCCCTGAGAT